AAATAAAATAAAATTTTTTAAAATATAATAATTAATAAAAAAATTAAAATAAAAAATATCTATTATCTTTAAAAAAAATTATTTAAAACAACTCAAAATCAAAAAACAAAAATTATTTTGACGCAAACAGAGTATTCCTTAAAAAATTCTCACTGGAATCTGGGATGAAGGTATTCCTGGCTCCGCGGACCTGTTACCATCCTAGGCAGAACAATTAGTTTAACAACTTCAGTCTCTCACGTCAGTATTTCAGTTCAAACACGACAAAGAGAATAAAAAACGGAAGTTGGGATGGGTAATGTCTGTCTGTTAAAATTTATAAAACAACGACCCTCTAAAAACGGTTCCATGGTCTAGTGGTCAGGACATTGGACTCTAAATCCAGTAACCCGAGTCCAAATCTCGGTGGAACCTTTGTTCTGGTCCAAAAAAACGTAAAATTTACCATGGGGACATGCCCTTCCCTCCCTGTCCCCTGGGGACCTTCTTTTGTTTCAGGTCTACTGTGCTGAAGTTTTTGATCCTAGTAGAGTTTGCAAGGTTATTGTTGAAAGGGCGTTTGAGTTTTTTTTTCCTCTGTTTCAGCAACGCCTAACGTTAGTGATCATTCATCTACCCAAAGGCTTGTAATGTGAGAAGCCACCAATTGGTTTCTTCAAACTCAACACTGATGGGTTAGCCGTGCATAATCCTGGTCCTGCTACATCAGATGGTTTAATTGGCGACCATTGTTGTAATTGTGTTAGAGGTTTTTCCAGAAAGATTGGCATCACAACCAACCTCGCTACGGAATTTAGGAGAATTTGATGAGATGGTCTCACGATTGCTAGGTAACTTAATATACTACTTGATTGTTGAAATGGATTAATTCATTGGTTGGCTTCTAATTGCTGTTTTGATGATCCTCCACCTAACCATGCCTTATATCGTCTATTATTTTGGATTGTAGGGAGTAAATGGCAGGAATCCCTTATGCTCATCTTTTTTTTTTTTATGAACAATGGAAAATTTTTTCAGGGAAAAGGGAAAGGAGGACCTGAGATTACAATCCAGGTCTTGATAATACTAAACACATCTTGCAAGGAGGGGTTAGTAAGCCCTGAAGTGCTGGATCCCTTATGCTCATCTTTTTTTTTTTATGAACAATGGAAAATTTTTTCAGGGAAAAGGGAAAGGAGGACGTGAGATTACAATCCAGGTCTTGATAATACTAAACACATCTTGTAAGGAGGGGTTAATAGGCCTTGAAGTGCTGGACCCCTTATGCTCATCTTCATCATGCATGTAGGGAGGGCAACATATATGGGTGCTGACAGCCTTGTTGCTATTGCTTATCTCCAGCATGTTGATTTTGTTCTTTTTGATGTCATCCCTACTGGACTTCTTGGGTCTTTCAATGCTGCAATCGGGGATTAAATAGCTATATTTTGCTATTTTATTAATATATCTCACCAAAAAAGAAAAAAAAAAAAACTGGCATTTACCGTTACATGTGGCACGAAAACTGAAAAGCTATGAAGCCTTTGGCCACAAAAGAAGAGTAAAAAATCTACTCGATGCTAGCTGGCACTTGTATCTTCGTAGGTCTGAGAGTACTTCTATTTTAATCAAAAAATAAAAGAAATAAAAAAATAAAGTGTGTTGATTGAAAAAAAATCTCACATTCAATATATAACAAAGAAATATATGTGTTAAATATAAAAAAAAATTATTTAATTTATTATCAAATCGTTTTAAATTGTATACAAATATTATATTGAAATTCACATACACAATTTTAACATAATATTGAGCTTTTATTATTTATCTATTTGATAGGATCTAAAATTAATATCAAGTCTACATGTCTTAACATTCATAATAAATTTACAGCATTAATCTTAGATTAAATATAAATCTTATATTGAAACAATCTTACACAATTCTAACAAAGTGAACCAATGAGAACAAAATGTTCGTGTACTTGAACTCACTCTTAATGCATATAAGTCAAAACGCTAACACTCTTCAAAATTGGCATGGTGTAATATATTTCCATGATAAGTGTCAACTAAATTAGAACAAAAAAATACTAGAAAAAAAGACAAACTTTCTATAACTTCATCATATAACCTTCAGTACCCAATATGGTGACAGACAAATTTCTAAAAATTTATAGATCAATTTGATGTAAGAAGGAGGATTTTGTGTTTTGCACAACTGAAATCCTCCCTTTTGCCGACGACGAACACATGAGAGTGGGGACTAGAGGCACGGGTGAAGGATTGATTTTTGCAATTTGGTTGTCCGTAAATTTTAACTACTTACTATTCTTTTTTTTTTTTTTTTGGTAGCAACCTGTTTGCTGCTTCATTTTAGACAGTTATTTTCTGGATAAATAAATTCACATTTTATCTAAGAAAATTGTTATCTTTTATTTTGACAAACGTGTAACTACACACTTTTCTCAACAAAATAATACAATTACAATATCACAAATTACAATCTTGACACGCATGCCCTACTGCACTGCTATATAAAAGGGCAAAGGAGGCAAGTGCATGTTATCTTGTTTTGAGTCCCCCGAAAAAATGATCCGAGAGGTAAAAGAAATGTCCGGAAACAGTGCATTAGAGGCGACGAAAGTCCCTTTGCTCAATGATTTAGCTTCGTCGGCTACCGAGCAAGACAGTGAACAACAATCACTTTCAAGGAGGGTGTGGATTGAATCCAAGAAGCTATGGCAGATTGTTGGACCTGCAATTTTCAGCCGCATCGCCTCCTATTCCATGTTTATCATCACCCTAGCCTTTGCCGGTCACCTTGGTGACCTAGACCTCGCCGCTATTGCTATAGCCAATAACGTCATCGTTGGCTTCGACTATGGCCTTCTGGTATACAATTCTTCACTTTTCTTGTGGCACTAATTTGTAAGTCTCGCTTACAATACCGTTCTAATTTATTTGTACACTTTTTTTAATTAGCTGGGGATGGCGAGTGCATTGGAAACGCTATGTGGTCAGGCATTTGGGGCTAAGAAATACTACATGTTGGGTGTATACATGCAACGTTCATGGATTATTCTTTTCCTATGTTGTGTTCTGCTTTTGCCTCTGTATCTCTGTGCTTCACCTTTTCTGAAGCTCTTGGGTCAGCCTAAAGAGGTGGCGGAGCTATCTGGGATTGTGGCTATACTGATGATACCACTCCACTTCAGCTTCGCTTTCCAGTTCCCTCTGCAGAGGTTCTTGCAGTGTCAGCTGAAGAACATGGTGATTGCATGGGTGTCCCTGTTGGCCCTCATAGTACATGTGTTCGTGAGCTGGCTGTTTGTCTACAGACTGCAGCTTGGAGTCGTAGGCACTGCCATCACTCTCAACTTTTCTTGGTGGGTCTTGGTTTTTGGCCTCTTTGCATACACTGTCTTCGGTGGCTGTCCTCTTACATGGACCGGTTTCTCCATTGAAGCGTTTTCTGGTCTCTGGGAGTTCACAAAACTCTCTGCCGCTTCCGGTGTCATGCTTTGGTACAAATTGAAGAAGAATCATTAACAGTTTTTGCTTTTTAATGGTTTAGTTGTTTTCTTTGCATTTTCTGCATCTTACCAGTTTTAAAATTTTGTAGTTTGGAGAATTGGTACTATCGAGTATTGATATTAATGACGGGAAATCTCCAGAATGCAAAGATTGCCGTAGATGCTTTGTCTATATGGTAAGGAAACGAATCCTCTGAATAAACACTGCATCTTTCACTAGCAAAATGTTGATTAAAGAATGATATTTCTAATTACGTTTTCTGTATGACCACCAACTCTTGATACAATTTGTAAAGTTAAATGTTAATTTCAATCTTTCAACTTTAAAATTTTACATAATTTTTATTTTTTAATTTTTTTTATATACTCTTTTAGTGCCTTAACTATAAAAAATATAATTTTTTAGTTTTTTCATCAATTTATCTATTAAGTCTATCTAAATTTACACTTTTTTAATTTTTTAATTTTCAATACATGTATATTTTTTATCTTTCAACTTAAAATTGAAAGACTAAAAATATGTATATTTAGACAAACTTAACAAACTAACTAATCAAAAGATTAAAAATATATATTTTTCAAAATTAAGAAAATAAAAAAATGCATAAAAAAATTGAAAGATGAAAATTATATAAACTTTAAAATTAATGGAGCAAAATTAATATCTAACCAATTTATGACACTTGCAACTGGTTGAAAGTACCCTGAACTTCATCTAATAACAATTTGGGAGGGCAATTTACACACACAAAAATACTTCTAGTGTACTATATCCTACACTGATTATGTACCAAAAAAAAAATTATATCCTACACTGATTATACTGCTTTTAACTATTAATAGAGTGATGTACTCCAATATCAACGGCCCACTCCCTCCAACTCCATCATTCCTTTTCTGAAAATAAAAACTATTAACTGAATTTGTGTGCTAATGATTTTGACTGTTTTGTAATCAGCATGTCAATAAATGGATGGCAGTTGATGATTCCTTTCGCATTCTTCGCAGGAACCGGGTAAGACTCCTGATCTCTTCTGCTTTTATTTTACGGTACTTTGAAAATCTTGTTTTTTTTCTATTGGGGTACGATATGGAATCCAAAATCATTTTCATATCAGCTGTAAACAGAATGGCATGGTCTATAGATAAACTAGACTCTATGTCCATCTTTTTCTAAAGACCTCAAAATTTTAATAAACATTACAACAGTACATCCTGTTCGCATTGGAAAAGGATCCCTCTTTCTTGCAAGCACTGATATTTCATAGAATAATAAAGACGAATCAGTAACTTTCAAAGCAGACAGACAACGAAAAAACGGCGAAATTTTCAAATTAAGTTGTGAAGGGAAGGGTCCACGTTCAGCGTGACATATCTGCTATATACATGGCCTGGGTTGAATTAACCGTCGTGTAGCAAGAACTTTCCAAAGAAGAAAAGTGACATGGTACCGGATTATTTTGTCTTTATGGTCATTATTCAGCATTATTGAGCTACATATGTCTGTCTTTGCACATTAATTTTGAAGGGTCCCAGATTGGCGACCCCATGCCCTGCCATGACAAGCTCCAATAAAACATGTTCTCTCTCCTCTCTCTGAATCACGCACGATTAACTCATTTTTGGATAAATCAAGCTTAATTAGTGCATCGATAATTAGCTTTTTGTGCAATTCATACGTATCTTGGTAATGAAAGAATGAATTGTTTTGTTAACTACGGTCAGTTACATTAAGAGCCATGTGTCTTTATTCTTTGCTGTTTCTTCCCCTTTGTTAAGAATAATAGAAACTCAAATACAAACAGTAAATAAAAAAAGAAGGGGCCTAATTCTCAACATGGAATAGAATTTTGTTGATTTAATAATGCTTATGATACAGAGTGAGGGTTGCAAATGAGCTTGGAGCTGGAAATGGGAAAGGAGCAAAGTTTGCAACGATAGTTTCTGTGATGACATCGGTTGTAATAGGCGTTTTCTTCTGGCTGCTGATCTTGTTGTTCCTTGATCATATAGCTCTCATTTTTACTTCAAGTAAACCAGTTCTAGAAGCTGTGAGCCAGCTTTCAATTCTCTTAGCGTTCAGTATTCTGCTCAACAGTGTTCAGCCAATTCTCTCTGGTATAGAATCAAACCTTAGAGTAATTAACTTCTGTTTTTATCAATCAAAAAAGGGTTGTACAAAAACTATACAACGTGAACCATTAGATAGGGCAGCCCTTAATCTAATGGTTCTTGTTTTACAATGTAATATACATAATCTAAATTGCAAAACATTAAGCTACAATCAAAATGGTTTGAGGAACTTTGGGTTTTTTTGTAGGAGTGGCTGTGGGATCAGGATGGCAATCCTATGTAGCATACATAAACGTGGGTTCCTACTATTTGATTGGGGTTCCACTTGGAATTTTAATCGGATGGGTTTTTCACAAAGGAGTCATGGTAAGCCCTAAATTCAGTTCAAGATCAAATTGATTGATGATATGTATACATATATATATATATATATATATATATTGTTTTTGCAATCTAACAAAGGATTAAACATTTTGTTAGGGAATTTGGGGTGGAATGATTGGTGGGACAGCAGTTCAAACCTTGATATTGGCCATAATCACAATCAAATGCGATTGGGACAAGGAGGTAGAGAGAGATTTCTCTTAATATATCTAATATTTCCGCTAGTGTTCTGTATCCAGGTGAATTAATTAAACCTGTTTGCTGGAATTTACAGGCTGAAAATGCAGGTAAGCACGTGAGGAAGTGGGGAGGCGACGAAGCAGAATAGAGCAAGGGACTTGATGTCAAGAATGTTCATAGCGTGTCAAGGCTAGCTCACTACTGTTCAAATGACATTAACCGTTTAAGGTGAGAAGTATCTAAAGCCTAGTGATTTTGGTTGATAATTTAGAATTAACTACGCGTGTGAATAAGTATGTCCAATGTTTGCAAGCCTATTTATTGTAGAATGAAATTGCAAGTGTGTTAATTGTAAACAGTAGAATTATATATGCCAGATCCATTATATGATCTGCTTGTACCTGATGTAATGTAATATATCGTTCTTGTAACTATACTACCATGTTTAATGAAATGAAATAAATTATCCTTTAAAAAAAGTAGGGTAGAATAATAGTTGTTGTGCAATGAACTTGAAGATTGGAGGATAAGAACAGAACATGGTTGGGTTATTTTTTAATTTTTATTTTTTTGGACTTTTTCGATAAATTAGGATCATCAATTATATAATAAAAAATAATCTTTTCTTTTTTAAACTCTTCTCATTTGTTTTTGAAAATAAATTTGAACTAGAGATCTCGAAAGTAAAATGTTAAAATTCTCCTCTCATTTATTTTTGAATTTCAACTAGAAATCTCGAAAGTAAAACATTAAAATTCTCCCCTTTTTTCCTCTCCTTTTAATTTTTGGCCAAAAGACACAGAATTCTTTATAACTAGATTTTAAACAAAAAACTAAATCTAGGTTCAAGAAATTATAGGTGCATTTGGTACTGTGGTTGAGAGATTCTTC